ACACACTAATACGATCCCAAATTTCTCTTTTTCTCACAAATATTCTTTGTATCATGTTCATTTAAGAAAATATGCAGAAAAAATTAAACAGTTTTATAGGCAGGGATATATTGGATATATTGGATATTATGGATTTGTTGTTTTTTTTTCAAAGAAATTTTATTTTTTAACTATATATTTTTTAAAGCGTCTCAGGAGGTTGGTGATTGCGCGGGAGGCTGTTATAAATTTGTTTTTCTATAGCGGGCTTACAGAAACCTGTTTTACGGGAATTCTCCTATACAAAAATGTCCCAAAGCAAGTTAAATAGTTAAATATGGGATTGGATATTATAGATTTGTCGTTTTTCAAATAATTTTTATTGTTTTAAGCGTCTCAGGAGGTTGGTGATTACGCGGTTGGCGACTTCAATTTTTTGTTCATATACCGGGCTTACGAAAACCTGTTATACAGGAATTCTCTCCCAATAGAATCCACCTCTAAACAAACAAAAGGAATGATTTTCCAATTATCTTGAGAGCTCGCATTTAATTTACAGCTTTTTGAAAATAAATTATAAATATTTTAGACGACAAATAAGTTTATTTTGTTTTAGCCTCCAAGGATAATTTAGGATCTTAATTTATTTTGTAGGAGTGTAAATATAACGTTCATCTGTAAATAATTGATTGGGGAACTTAGTATTAAAAGAAATAGCGTAAACTAAAATAAACTTGAAAATGCCCCAATTGATTTGAGAACCAGTATTTGAAAACATGGAAAAAAAAAAAAAAAAAAAAAAAAAAAAAAAGGAATTGAAAAAAGAAGGAAGGAATGAAAGAAAGAAAATAGTAGAGAAGAAGAAAGATATTTTTCAAAAAACCTCATATTTTTGAATTGCACTTCTCGCACCGTACCGCCGCTCGTCCACATACTTAGTTCACTCCACAAGCATCAGTACAAAACTCAACTCAACTCACATGTTGATTTTTACGAAGGAAGATAAATCAAAGAACCCGGGGAATAACCGGTAACCCTTCTGGAACTAACATCTAACATGATGTAAATTATGAATGAGTCAAGTTAAAGTTTTTATTTCAATAGCTGGAGCACATTACAAGTCAGTGCTTTCAGAAACACGGCGATTTGTCCTTCGGGTTTGATGACTAACAGAAGTCAACTCCGGATGTATAGGAACCGCAAAAAATAAGTTCTTTGCGCCATTAAAAAAAGATTGACTACAAAATATATAAATATATGGATTTGCAGCAGCGTTTACAAACGTCAATAAAAAAGTAATTTCAAAATATCTCCCATCACAGACACTAGAAGATTTACCAAGCCGATTTATGAAACAATAAAGATAAATCGTCCAATATGGAAGTACACACAGTGCGAAGAGAAAAACTATCGTCAAAAGCATAAGACAAATACGATAGTTTTCTTTTCGCTTTCTTTCCAAGCGTTGGTTGTTTATATTTTCACCTACTGGTTTTTGACCTAATAGTTTGATAATTATTGCAAAATAAAGCACAGTAACAGTTAATAGAGGAGTAGCGATAAACAGCGTAAATGTAACTGTAGTAAACGCTTCAAAAACACCTTCACTTCCTAAGTTCATGAAACAATAGAGTTTGTCCTTGTATTGAAAGACGTTCGTGTACAAAAATAATGGAGAGCTAAAAGCAGTGGCTATAACCCAACTTAGAGCTATCGCTAAAGCTGAAATCTTTTTAGTAACAAGGTTTTTGGTCGGCCAGTAAACGAGAACAAAGCGGTCCACTGCWATCCCTGATAAGCTTCCAGTTGAAACAAGYTCYGAGAAGAACCAGGAAAAAACGCAAAATTTACACAAGAATGAYCCAAAGTTTCCACTAATTTTCCATTCGTGGTCGTTCACAAGTGCTTTGAGCGAAAATGGAACGTTCCATACAGTAAAGAGAAGATTCGAGATCACCATGTTTAGAATGAAAMAATTACTTGCTGTTCGCATTCGMTGGTTGGCGTTCTTGTAAATKATSGCAATCATTACGAAATTCCCAATAAACGACAGGAACAACATTACAGAATAAGCTGTAATTTTAAGCACTTTGCTAACCTCASTTTYAGAGTAGAAATAACTATGGTTATCAGATGAAGTCGAATTGTTCATCTTCTTTTCTTGTCGTTTGAGATTCCTCTTTGTATTTCCAAAGTACGATATATTCACCTTTAATATTTTTGCTGTTCTCAACTTTTTAGAATAGTTCTGAACTTTAATTCTAGTTCTTTAAACGGAAAAAAAACTCATCCAAAAGTTCCTTATGAACTATTAGCAAAAATAGATTTAAAATTCGAAGATTTCCGAAGGTGTAGTGTTAGTTCAACCCACGACTCCAACTGCAAAAACAATAGTCCTGTCGTTCTACATATACTCCATTTACAGTCCAATGCCTGCCTGATTTATAATTTATGATCACACATTTTTATCTAAAAACGAGAATATTTGATGTAATATTTATATAAGCTTGACATATTTCATTAATTACATTTAATGTCATAGAATTTTAGTTTTCTAATCTGTAAAGTTGACTTGRRATGTTGATCTATCGKTGACAATGCCAGTAGCTCTATTCTATAAGAGCACTTTTCTTATCCTAAAGATGGCTTTTAGCGAGCTTTATTGACTTTGTTTCTAGTTTGGCGTCCCTATTTCGTATGAACCATTTATTTAAGCGCTTTTAAATTAGTACTGAAATTATGAACTAGTATGAAAATACGGACAGACTAAATGAAGATACGAGTATTTTAAACTTCAAGAACGACGAGTCTATATATAACTTTTTTCAACATTTTAAAATAAAACTTCAAGCATTGTCCATAATTTTAATATAGGATAAGGCTAAGGGTGTAAAATATGGGATATAATAATGTCAGCGTTATCTCTTCATCGTTTTTCAGCCACTGATTTTTAGCTCTCCATTTAGTACAATCACGTTGCTAGATAAAATGAAATAACTGCGTGATGTCTTCCCGCCAAATTAAAAGCATGTGTAACCCAATGTTGGCCAGAAATGTTCTCAACAGATGAAGATCACCCATGGCCTTCAGGGGTCGGTCCTTGGTCCGACTCTATTTCATATATACAAAGTAATTGGATTTCCGACGCCTGTAAAAACAATTATGTAATGCAGCATGCTGACGATACGGAAATATATTCTTGCTCGGAAGACGTTAATATAGCCGAAGAGAACGTTAATCAAGACCTTATCGTATTGATATTTGGCTAAAGCAAAACAGTCTTATTAGTAATCATAAGTAGTAGGGTAGGGATGGCACGGGCCGGATTTCCTAATTTTGGGGTGGATTTGAGTATATTTGCGGTGGATTTAATTATGTTCTAATACGTCACGCATTACGTGTANTTTCCGAAGGTGTAGTGTTAGTTCAACCCACGACTCCAACTGCAAAAACAATAGTCCTGTCGTTCTACATATACTCCATTTACAGTCCAATGCCTGCCTGATTTATAATTTATGATCACACATTTTTATCTAAAAACGAGAATATTTGATGTAATATTTATATAARCTTGACATMTTTCATTAATTACATTYAATGTCATAGAATTTTAGTTTTCTAATCTGTAAAGTTGACTTGGAATGTTGATCTATCGTTGACAATGCCAGTAGCTCTATTCTATAAGAGCACTTTTCTTATCCTAAAGATGGCTTTTAGCGAGCTTTATTGACTTTGTTTCTAGTTTGGCGTCCTTATTTCGTATGAACCATTTACTTAAGCGCTTTTAAATTAGTACTGAAATTATGAACTAGTATGAAAATACGGACAGASTAAATGAAGATACGAGTATTTTAAACTTCAAGAACGACGAGTCTATATATAACTTTTTTCAACATTTTAAAATAAAACTTCAAGCATTGTCCATAATTTTAATCTAGGATAAGGCTAAGGGTGTACAGTATAGGATATAGTAATGTCAGCGTTATCTCTTCATCGTTTTTGAGCCACTGATTTTTAGCTTTCCATTTAGTACAATCAAGTTTCTAGGTAAAATGAAATAACTGTGCGATGTCTTCCCGCCAATTTAAAAGCATGTTGGCCAGAAATGTTCTCAACAGATGAAGATCACCCATAGAGTCCCTCAAGGGTCGGTCCTTGGTCCGACTCTATTTCATATACAAAATAATGGGATTTCCGATGCCTGTAAAAACAATTATGTAATGCAGCATGCTGATGATACCGAGATATATTCTTGCTCGGAAGACATTAATATAGCCGAAGAGAAAGTTAATCAAGACCTTATCGTATTGACATTTGGCTAAAGTGAAACAGTCTTATTAGCAATCATAAGAAGTCTGAGGCAATGCTAATAGACCTTTCGTGAATTCGCTGGAGTAACCACGAAACAATGGCTCCAAGTCGAGGTTAGACTTCATGTGTTTATTCATTCACTGTATTTTACCAAGTCCAACCTCGACATGGARYCATTGTTTCGTGGTCATTCATCATGCGCATGCATTCGGGAAAGGTCTTACTATTGGATCAATCCGTATCTAATACACATACGTTATACACCTATTTCAATAAACGTTTTCATCACCAAAGGCAATAAGCGAAAGGAGATAGGTGACAGGCGAAAGGAGATAGGTCATTCCAAAATCCAAGAATAGCTGGAATGATTTGTGTTTCTGCTTCTTATTCTCGTCAAGAACGTGGACCTTAGTGTTGAGACTGATTCAATGTTCTTTGTATTCAACGAAACCATTTCCATGTCGGAATGACCTATCGCCTATTGCCTTTGGCGATGACAACGCGTTTATTGAAATAGGTGTATATCTTCCAGGTATGATACAATTCAATACAATACARGAGACGTTATTAGGTTCCCTGAGGGGATCTTCACAACTATAAAACTATAAAAAGAGTATCAAAAATYRCAATAAAATTGAAATAGAAAGATAATGAACTTCCACTGTTATCGAATATCTAATGCCTACCAATAATAATAAGGACGAACTACTATAAGATACTATACTACAATTATAAATAATTAATAAAAGAAAAAAGAAAAAAATCTGCAAGGCATTAAAAATAATTACTTAGCCAGTTGCGCAACAACGCTGATTGAAGATTACGCTTAAAGGAAGATACAGAAGGACAGTTACGATGCTCATCAGAAARAAAATTCCAGATGTACGTGCCGCGATAGAAAGACGATTGTTGCTCTAAAACTGTCCGACACCGTTAGAAAGATGGAGACTGTCTATTTCTAGTGTCGTATCTATGAATTTGTGACCTCTTAGAGAATAACTCAATTAAATACGCTTTGAAGGCACTATATAGCTCACATTAATTAAGGCTTCGCCATATCGTCAAAAAACGATGACATAAGTCTTATTGATAACACATCATGTTCGCTTCAGTTATATGGACTTTTTGTTGAGCCCGCAGTCAACAGTTATTTCCTTTTTCAAGTCGTGTGAGCAAGGCTAAAGGTTAACTAAATGCAAAAGCAGTAACATGGCTGTCAGCTTCTTCTTATGGTCAGTAACATGGCTGTCAGCTTCTTCTTATGGTCAGTAACATGGCTGTCAGCAGTAACATGRCTGTCAGCTTCTTCTTATGGTCAGTAACATGGCTGTCAGCTTCTTCTTATGGTCAGTAACATGGCTGTCAGCTTCTCCTTATGGTCAGTAACATGGCTGTCAGCTTCTTCTTATGGTCAGTAACATGGCTGTCAGCTTCTCCTTATGGTCAGTAACATGGCTGTCAGTTTCTTCTTATGGTCAGTAACATGACTGTCAGCTTCTTCCTATGGTCAGTGACATTTTGTTAAGATTACGTTTGTAGTCACGCGTAAACTTGTCAAATTTGTTGAACCTTGAAGGTTTAAATTATGGAACACAAGTCTTGACACTTCATAAAATGGACCTTTGCGATAATTGCTGATCAAGTTGAAGGACTTGCCATCTTCTTCTGGTAACAGAAGGTATTGTTTTCTATTTGGGAAAACAGGATAAGGAAGATAGATTCTGTGCTCAATCTCATCTGTTTGGAGATTTATGACGTACATGACACTCTGACCAGTCACGAGTCGTGTGATCACGAGATATGACCTTGATACGAACAAAATATTAAGAAATGATAGCCTCCGTACATCAAGAGCCATCTGACGTGCTGACTATGAATATAGAATCGTTATAATGTTATGCAAGAAGGTGTCCATCTTCAGAGACATGAACCGCGTCGTCTATATTGATACTGGGCAGATCGAGATAGGGACAACTGCACATCCTTTTTGCTAGTGGGTACACGGGAATGGGCTGCTTTGCCCAGTCAAAGTGATATAGGAGCATTTCTCGGTAGATGTAGATAAAGTTCGCTTTAAATGGTGAATTAAACCGACCATATAAGGAAATGAGTTCTCAATATCATTAATAATCCTCCATTCCATCAGCTCTACTTCACCATCTTTATTGATAAAGATTTTACATTTTCTGGCCCATTGCGTTTCCATGTTCTTGTCACCAMAATATGGCCTTCGCAGCTAACGTCTATTGCAGTACTATCTTCATTCACTGAAATGGTATTATGTACGTGTCCCGTTAGTCCTTCAATGACGTAGATCTTGTTGTCATGACAACCCTTGATAACAACGAAGCAACCCTGATGGTCTCCAAACACGTGACATGTTTGTATTGCATCATGGGGAGACTCGTATTGACTGATCACTTCAAGTGTTGTTGCGTCTAATATCTCAATCTTGTTCCCGTTTTCTTGGGCAACAACGATGAACCAATCACGTTGCAGCAGTTCTCTCAGTGAAATAAAAATCCTGTCCCAGAAACAACTACACCGTATCTCTTTAAAAAGAACAACAAGGATTACGAGGCAATTCTCTGTTTTTCTTTAAAGGCCAGTAAAAACAGAAACGATTCAGTTATGATGAATTTTCCGCGATCAGAGTTTTAAAATCTGAGATATTCCATCATATTTGTTGAGCTTGTGGGACATGATTTTTCATGTTCACTTCAGTTATATGGAAATTTTGTTGAGCCCGCAGTCAACAGCTATTTTCTTTTTCAAGTCATGTAAGCGAGGCTAAAGGGTCAATACATGCGAAACAGACCAGTAGTAAGCAGTTATGTGTGCCAATTTCTCCTTATGGTCAGTGACATTTTCTTAAGATTGAGTATGTAGTCACGTGCAAACTTGTCGAGTATGTTCTCAACTAAAATTGGATCGAAGACGTGTGTCTTTATTGAAGACCTCGAAGGTTTAAATTATGAAACACAAGTCTTGACACTTCATGAAAATGATTGCTGATCAAGTTGAAGGACTTGCCATCTTCTTCTGGTAACAGAAGGTATTGTTTACTATTTGCGGGGAAAGCAGGATATGGAAGATAGATTCTGTGCTCAACCCTATCTGTTTGGACGTTTATCACGGACATGAAATTTAAATCAGTGATCACGAGATATGACCGTGATAGGAACAAAAAGTTAGGACACTCTAGCGAGAATACGTCACTTGCCCATTTTTTAAGCAAAGAGCCATCTGACGTGTTCACTATAAATATGGAATTTTTATGATGGTATGCAAGAAGGTGACCATCCTCAGAATGAATTACGTCTTCTACATTACTTTCACGGGGAGATTGGTGAAACGGAGGTTCACTCATCTTTTCTACTAGTGTAAATGGGTAGATGGAATTGAGCCCCTCTGCCCTGGCATAGTGATACAGGAGCAGTTCTTGATTGGTGTATGTAATCCCCTCATGATCAATCCAATTCATCCGCTCTACTTCACCATCTCTAATTGTAAAAAGATTACCTCTTCTTGGCCCATTGCATATCCATGTTCTTGACACCACAATATGGCCTTTGCAGCTAACGTCCATTACAGTACTATCTTCACTCACTGTAATGGTGTTATGTACGTGTCCCGTTAGTCCTTCAATGACGTAGACCTTGTTGCCACAACAACCCTTGATGACTACGAAGCATGCCTGATCATCTCCAAACACGTAACATGTTTGTATTTTATCATGAGGAGACTCGTATTGACTGGTCACTTCAAGTGTTGTTGCATCTAATATCTCAATCTTGTTCCCGTTTTCTTGGGCAACAACGATGAAGTTGATGTTCGGAGAGGTGGTTATGAGCTTTTTGCCAAGAAAGGATTTCGACGTGATAGAGCGTCCATCAAGTTGAAACGTATATACTTCAGTTGACAGTGAATTTGAACAAGAAATGGGTAGAACAGCTATAAACCCATCCTTACATCTGAGTAGATATTGTAGGTAAAATAGGGTCATTGGATCAAGTCGTAAGGCATTCGATCCTGTCGTTTCTAATAATGGAGTCTGCAATAAACTGTCCTCGTCAAAATAAGGAAAAAGTGGTTTTGGCGTTATTTCGACAATCACTTCCTTCGCATGTGCAGCTTGAAGAACGAATCCAAGGTTACAACCATATGAAATGTCACGAAAAAAGTTAGGATGATCTTCGAGAGTTATATTGTTCATGCGAAAACCAAATGTCAAATCTTTAATTATTTCCAGTAAAGAACTAGATATGATATCACAGCCACTAATGGAATCAACAAAGCGTTTTTCTTTTTTATGATCAGTCGTTAATGCAGTCAAGAGGTAAATGTTAGAAAAGAACCCATACTTATCTCCTTTGATGACTGATGAGCGTTTATCTACAAGGTGGCAAAGAAAGTTTAGAGCATACTTCTCGCTGTCTGTGAGATACAATCGTTTGTCCAGATCTTTTTTTCCGTTTCGTATGTCACTCAGGACATCATTACACTGACTGGCAAGTACTTCTTCCCCGTCTTCTACAAGAACACTGAAGTTATGTTCTTTATCTTCTTGAAGGATCAACCAATCAAATACTGATTTGTGAAATGGTGTCACGTGATCCCCCTCAACAGGAAACAACCAATGGAGTGAGTTCAACGCATCTTTTCTTTTCATTTTCTCTTCGCGTGGGACTTCACGCTCGCTCTTGAGACAAAGAATATTGTAAAACATGTTCTTTGGCAAAGGGTTTCTGGTTGCCACAACAGCTTCAAGCATCTTGTAGAACCCTTCCTTGTCTGATATGAAAGGTAATAATACTTCTTTAAGACGAGAGAAATAATTCTCATAAACTGATGAGATCCCCTTAGGAAACAGCTGCAAAACTTTCTCTGGTGCCAGTGATGCAACATTTTCTCTTTTCATATAGTCGATGACAAAGAAAGCAACTAAAAACAAACCTTCTGTCATTTCCACTAGGTTCTTTACAAGATCTGCATTATCGTCATTGTCGCATTGCGGATTGAGGGCTTTAAGCTCGAAGCTCAAAAATGTTTTAAGATCTTTGATATTAGATTCATCTTCTGGTCTTATTTTTACAGCAACAGTTGAATCAAGTGCAGAGGTATTTGTTGATGGTCTACTGGTTAGAATAAACCGAAGCCATGAAGGGAAGCATGAAAGTTTTTCCTTTAGTGCCTTCAGTAGTTCATCTTTTGGATCATGCGAACACTCGTCTAGAGCATCTATAACAACGACCAAGTGAGAGTCTTTTTGTTCCACTTCACACAATGGTTCCTCCAGCAAAATGGTTAACAGCTCTTTGCAGTTCATCTCGGAAACCTTCTTACCCAAATCTGTTCGCAATTTGCTTACTAAGGCATCTCGATAACCAGGAACAGTGTCACACATCTGCCTTGCTATAGACTGCAACATCAACCTTGGATTGTTTCTTGTAGCGTTACTGAACTGAAAGAAGTGACATGCTGCAAGACATCCAAGATCCTCGTATGTCTGACAAATCTTAGCAGCAAGAGTTGATTTGCCCATACCTGGACCAGCGGTGATTAGCATTATACACGAGTCTGGTTGGTCACTGTCAACATGGGATTTGACTTGATCTAGAATCCACTGGCGAGTGTTTGGGTGGAAAACCTTACATTTTGTATTTATTTCTGGTCTAAAGTCGGAAATAGCCAGCTGTTGGATCTGTTGATTGATTTGTCGTGCTTCGATACACACATTCCAGACGTCATCTACTTTGTCCTTAATATTTGCTGTGTCTGACTTGAGGTCTGCTGTGTCTGACTTGAGGTCTGCTGTGTCTGACTTGAGGTCTGCTGTG